AATCGGATGGTGGTGAGGATGACGGTGAGGAGACAATTTTGGAGGAGGGGCTAAAGATTGACTCTGTTGAAAGTGAAGCCGTTGAATCCAATGGTGATGATGTAGATAACGGTAGAAAGGAGAAATTAAACGCCGATGGAACCGAACTAACAGAGACAACTGGAACAACGAGCGGAGAAACGAATGAGAGTGTTGGCGACGAAGTTGTTTTGGAAACGCCAACAGAGAAATTACAAACCCGAAGTGAGTCGAGTATTGGAATGAGTGCTGGAGCTGTGCGGAAAACTCTCGTAAGTAATGGATGTTTTTTATGCGTTTTTGCAGCTATGCAGTGCAGAAAATGCATATTGACGAGGGGTTGTCTGTGTGTGTCTGTTTGTTCGTCTGTACCGATTTTTCATCTCGAGACCTACTAAAATTACGGGGCCGAAATTCTGGGAACTTAATCTACATGTGTGTAGGGGTCCATATCCCCAAAATGAGCGCTCTTACCCCCGTGATATCCACGTACGGGCGCGCCAAAGTTTTTGACAAGGAAGCTGCTAACTCGTGAACCGGGAAAGCTACAAAGCTGAAATTTTAAGAAGATATTCCTCGTCCACGTAGGTCTTAATATGTTGAAACCCAACCTCTGGGTTTGCGTGGCTCCCACATACAGGCCCGTGAAAGTTTTCCGGTAAGTTGCTAACTCGGAAACCTGAGGAGCTAGAAGACTGGAATTTTAAGGGAATGTTCTCCGTTCAAGTAGATATTAATGAGTTAAAACCCAGCCCTCGGAAGTGCATCGTTCTTTTGTATGGGCCCGTGGATTTTTTTGCGGGTAAGCCGCTAACTCGGAAACTTGGAAAGCTAGGGAATTGTAATTTTGAGGAAATGTTCCCCGTCCACGTAGGTGCTAATGAGCTGAAACCAGCTTCCCGATGTGCATGGTCTTCATGTAGGGGGCCGTGAAAATTTTTTGCGGGTAAATTGATAACTTAGGAACCCGGAAGGTTAGGAAGTTGCAATTTTAAGAGAATTTTCCCGGCCCACGTGGAACCTGTTGAATTTGAACTTTACCTCTAGTTATGCGTGGTTCTTACATACGCGGCGGTGAAAATTTTTGACGAGTGGGTTGTTAATTCGGGGCCGAAAAAGCTAGAAAGCTGAAATTTTAAGGGGATTTTTTTAGACAACCCCGGTGGGTAGTCTCATTTCTCTTGGATAGAAAATCTACCGGAAAAACAATGCCTTCAGCGACCAAAACCTGCGGGGAACTGTGCAAAAAACGTGTTTTCGCACCGGCAGCCAATGTGCTGACCATTTGTTATGATTTGCTCTTGAAATTAGAATTTGAAAGAACTGCTAAGTTGTGAGGTTTTGGCAATGAAACGTGCTGGGCTTTTTTAAGGTAAATCTAAGAAAGTCGTCAGTAAGGTACGCTGGAGAACTGGGAACTCTGTGAGAACACT